AGTTGGGAAAGCCCCCCCTCCGCCTGAAAATAAGGCTGAACATTTGATCGGTCTCCCCCTCACAAGATCTGCAGCTACTTACAGATGAACACTGGAAAATTGTTTGTGAAATAAGAAATAATCTTGATGTCATACTTGATTCAAAGTTAGATCAATAACCCCTGTGTTTATTGGTCTATATGTTACTGCTAAAGCCTAAGACCATAATTACTAAAATGAACATCCTGGTTATGAAAACTTTTCAAAAACTAGATTAACAGTAAAAGCTGATCCCGTGGATTTTTTACTGAGCTCATAAACGTCAAGATGAGGAAGTTTGGCTCATTTCTCATTATGAGTGTTTATTGGTTATCTGGCCCCCTGCTGGCCGGCTTACACGAGATATGCACGGGCTTTAATACCATTAATTACATTAATACCACTGACCCCTTCATTAATCCCAAACAACACGCAACCTGTCTAGAAACGCAGCTGAAAGCTGTGTCACATGTCACAGTCCGACGGTCAATTGCCATCAATATATGAATTCGATAAATGATACAACTTTTTTGTAACGATTTTGTCTCCTCAAACTTGCTTCAGCCTCTCGGTTGTCAGGTTGGGGAGGAGACTGTGGCGAAAGATGAGGCGGACCATTTATAATAATTATTTATTTCTCAACTAACAGGTAAGTGTCATTTGCTGACAGACTGCACAACGCTGGATTTAATTCACCGTTTATTATATATTATTTTGATTACTATTGAGTTATTTTGTGTTTTGGTTTTGGGTGTGAGTCGCTGTTACCAGTAGTAACACCTGTATTATAGTCAGCCTTTTTGGAATTTAATTGTTAATTTTTGGCGAATATATTATATTAGCTTTTTGAGGAAACAAAAGCCAGGCGTTATTGTTGGCAAGGAGTTTTCTTTGAACAAACAAGATAAGAAAACAACAAATAGTGGTTCAACGAAAGACGGTTGTGTTGTTTTCCATCCACTATTTATGTTTAGGTTGCGAAGAGTGTACAACTACTTTACCAGGACCTCTTGTTAGATAAACCAGGTTATTTGCGTTCATTTTCACACAGCGAGGACTCTGTTTTGACAAGTGTTTAATTCATTTGGGGGAAAAGATGCTGCAATCAACAAAAGGACATCACAGGGCATTGAAACAAAGGGGCTAACAAAGAGGTATCTGGGTTGACACCATTTCATTGACCTTCGTGGAGACAACTCGGTGTCGACGGGGCATGAGAAACGGCCTCGAAAGGGCAGGTTCAGACGTACTGACGCGAGGAGGGGTGAAACAAGCTCGCCAAAACTTCTGCGACCAAAGGACCGCCGGGCATTTCCTTTATGGAAATCGGAGAAGAAGGGGACGAAAATAGAACAGAGAGAAAAACAACTGAAGCAGTAAAGATCCTGCAAAAAAAACAGGCAAATAAAAATGATCCATACATTTGATGATGACCGTGGTTTGTGTCCAGCACCAGCCTGATTGTCAGAGACAAGGATCAAAGAGCTGGGAGGAGAACTGATGTGACGCCGCGCTGAATCAGAATCTTAAACTTAAAGGCTTTCTATGCTCAGAATTTTGCCATGGGGTGTTGTTTCCTTCGCTTTTGGTGACAAAACTGACTGCGCAGGAAAAGCGGCTAATGGAGGAGGGCGATTTGGGGGGCCAAAGAGTATGACGCTCACCCAGACAAACAACACAAGACTTCGCGCGATTACAGACCCGCTGTGGTGGACCACAGAGCAGGATGGCAGGGGAGATGTCTGGGGGGACGCCATCAAGGACTGGTGGAGAAAAAGTGCTACAAGACAACATACAGAGACGGTGGCTGTGGACATTAGTAGACACTATTTTATCATTACTCATTTTATTGGGGGGCATTCCAAACAAAGGCCAAACAAAGAGTATTCTGGTGCGTGACACCATGCTCAGTGTGACCTTGTGGAAGCAACCGGTTGTTTGCAGACATCGGTTGCCAGAAGGAGACGTAGATTGTGTCGGACGTCGTGGCAGAAAGTGACAGAACGGGCGTCAAACAAAGGCTCGCCAAAAAACCTCTGGAGAGGGGGAGGCGAACTGTTCTGGCTGGCTAGTGGGGCATCACTACAGGGGGTGGTCTTTAAGAGTTGTTCGGATGCCTCGTTCTTCTGATGGCTCAGAGTTTTGGCGCGCCTGCATGGGGGGTTGTTTTCCTTCGGGCTTGTGGACAAAACTGATGCCCAGGCAAGAAAAGGCACTTTGAATGGGAGGGAGGGCGATTTTGGGGGCAAAGAGTGATGACGCCTCACAGACGAAACAAACAGCATCCTTACCAAAACTCTCAACCATTTCCACCGTCATCAAGACATGGCCGACCATAGAGCTGCGCGACATCGTATGCACAACATCTGGCAAAAAATAAAAACAAGAGCGATCGGTCTGGAGATCAGAGCGGAAGCGGTTTATGAACTGGCTCAACAAGCAGGTACAACAGCACATAAAAACAAGAGGCAAGTATTACTGTTAAACATTAAAACAGATTAAGGAAGTGAGTCGGCACCACAAATAATAAGAAAGTTTCTGTGGGACCAAACTGCGTCACTACGGGGAGACAGCGGTCAAAGAGAGTCCATGTACATGTTCTTTTAATTCTTCAATGCTCAAATACATTTTCTAAAACGGACTTCCGACTTCGAGTTCTCCTTACTTGCAAATCAACGAACGCGCTAACAACAGCCACATGAAGTCTAAATTAAACTGTCTTGTATGATATTTTAAAAGGGATGTTGACGCTGATACCAGATACTTTTATATTTTAAATGATGTGAAGGAACCAAGAGCTAGTTAGTTATATATTAAAGTTATTAGCAAAAATAAAATCTAAATAGCTAGTTAATTCAATTCAATTTAATTTTACAACTTATTTACATCATTCAATCCTTTAGTATTCAAAAAGTTCCTTGTTGCTGTGTTAATGGTGGTATCGTATGTTGTATGAGAACATAAAAACCCCTTGAGGCCAATTTGTGGGCTATAAAAATAAATGCTGACTTGACAATTTATTTTAGCTAATTAATCTTACACTGGTAGATTAGGCAACCACAACGTTTTTATGGAAACTGCAGTGATCTTGTGTTTTTAACTGACTGTAGACGAAACTAAAGGCAAAAGCTTATAAAAGCTAGGCAGTAGGGAGCGACAATGAGGTCATTATTCGTCCCGTTTTCACTGCCGTTCGAGGTTTTATTCATCTGTTAATGTGGTTTTATATCGGCAGCTGGAAAAGTTGTTACTCATAAACGTCCAGTAGTGTGGTCAAATAAAGACTACGTTCAAACTGTCTTTTTTTAAGTGAAATGAAGTATACGGTTCCCAACCTTTTTCCTTAAGGGACCCCTGACTGGTAATTCTCAAACTCACATACATATAGTGGACTGGAAACAATACTTTGCTTAATTTCAAATGATTAATTAACACACTTTAATGTATGTTTAGGTTTATTCTTGTTAATTCAGTTTAGTTTCAGTTATTTTTCCAGAGTGGATTTGATGGGTTTAATTTATATGAATCGTCCGTGTAGTATTTAAAACGTTCCTTGTTGCTTTAATGGTGATATCATTGTATTAGAATGTAAAACCTCCTTGAGGCTGTGTGTATGTGATTTTGGGCTATAAAAATAAAAGTTGACTTGACAATTTATCACATACATCAGACACTTCACATCACCGTTGGTAGATTAGGCAACCACAAAATTTTTATGGGAACTGCAGTGATCTTGTGATTAACTGACTGAAGACAAAACTGAAGGCAAAAGCTTATAACATCACTGTCACACCACACACTTACCATTTACTTCACCACAACTACAAAATCTGACCCAGCTTTTATCCATTTCTCAATTTGTTAAATTTACACCCGTTTTTACAGGT